AGAACAAAATAATTCTAACCTCGCGAAATGCTGACATTGCGTATTGGATTTTTTTCAGCCTTCTTCATTACTAATTGTAGTGAAACGCAAACATTTGCAAAAATGGCAAGAGTTAAAAATGATCTCGGCTCCTCAATGTGAAATGGCTGTTTAAATTTTTATTCTTTAATAAGAATTGAAAGAACTATGTTATAAAATATACATTTTGAAGATGTTTTACTTAACTTTATCAATGTAAAAGCAAGAAAAATTTCTTTATGAATAAAAAAGTTGAATATAGTAGTATCTATAAATATCAGTAACTATAATATTATACAATACTGTATGTATTATATATACAATACTATATATTATATAGTATCATTAAATGGTACTATATAATATACAGTATTGTATATATAATGTAAACTGTACTGTATTATACAAGTTCATTCAACACTATATAATACTAGATGTTATTCATTCAATTATTATTGTTGTTATCAATTTTTATATCCTAAATAAACATGTATTCGTTTTATAAAGCGAAGAAAAATGATACAAAACAGCATAACGATGTTTTGGCTTTTGAAATTAAAATTTAAAATAATAAAAACAGACACTAAAGATAGTACTTAAATTATTTGCAAAAATTAAAAGTATTACTTTATGTAAACTCTCAGAAACGTTTTCTATAACTGGCAAAACATTTCGCAAAAAAAACCAGGAAATTTTCAGCAAAATTTTAGATCACTGGGAACCCAGCAAAGTTTTCGTTAGAACTCCAGTAAACTTCCAGCGAAATCTCATCTTTCCAGTTAGCTGAGAAGCGAGGAAACTCTGTAATGATCTTTTAGATTTCCAGCAAAATTTTACCAGGTTTTTTGTAAGAGTTTGTATAATTTTCATAAATGAAAAAATAAAAGTGAAAATGTTTTACATTTCACAATGATGTTTTCTCCTAAATATGATCTGCTTCTAGTTTCATGCGTTACATATTTTAACACGTTGGCACGATTATTTCGATGGAAATTTTTCTAATGTGATCAGTATGTAACATTTCTAACTTTTCTTTCAATCATCTTGATCATGTGCAGTTAAGCAAACAAAAGAAAAAAGAATTTATTCATAAATTATTTATTTTATTTTATTTGTTATGTCCGTGTTTGTTTTATAAAGTCATTTTTTACAATTAAAGTAAAAACTGCTTCCTGTTCCAAAAGATCCAAGTAATAAAAAAAAAGGAAGCCATAGTAAATTAATCATTTACATTAGTTTAAAAATAACTTGTCGAATAGTTTTGTTTCATTCGTCCTTGAAGTAAGATTTTCCGTATCCATAACCTTTATTATATGATCCACCATAACCGTATCCGCCATACCCGTACCCTTTATCTAAAAAAAATAAATTCAAATTGTTTGTTTAAAATGTTAATTAACATTTTTAACAAACAGTATTGTTTGTTGAATTGAGAAAAATAAACAAGAACGTTTTAAATAAAGTTTACTGTATGAATTATAAGTGGGATCTTCTTTTACAGCCGTTGTAGATTCGTCACTGTAGTAGTTACTTCCAAATCCGTATCCTTTGTTGTATAATCGACCTCCGTATCTTCCGTATCCATTGTTGTTTAATCCACTTCCGTATCCACCGAAGCCATAGCCTTTGTCTAAAAGAGTTAATAAAAACACGGTGCGTAAATGAAAATAAAAACTTATTTATATAAATTTATTATTGACAAATCTTTTTAATAAAAAAATGAAACATGATTTACTGTATGAATTAAAAGTGGGGTCTTCTTTAACTTCCTTTTTTGATTCGTCACTGTAGTAGTTGTTTCCATATCCGTACCCTTTGCTGTTTAATCCACCTCCGTATCCTCCGTACCCTTTGTTGTATAATCCACCTCCGTATCCACCGAAGCCATAGCCTTTGTCTAAAAGAGTTAAAAAAAACACTGTTCGTAAATGAAAATAAAAACTTATTTATATAATTTTTTTATGACAAATCTTTTTAATAAAAAAATGAAACATGATTTACTGTATGAATTATAAGTGGGGTCTTCTTTAACATCCTTTTTTGATTCGTCACTGTAGTAGTTGTTTCCATATCCGTATCCTTTGTTGTAAAGTCCGCCTCCGTATCCTCCGTAACCTTTGTTGTATAATCCACCTCCGTATCCACCGTAGCCATACTCTTTAAAACAGTTATTAAAATAAATTACATTAAAAGTAAAAATAACATTCGTATTTACATATAAAAATTAAAACAACTTTTATAAAATTCTATAATGTGTATGTTTACAATAGTAATTTATAATAATAAAAAAAGTGCTTTTAAGATTTAATGTAGGTTAAACAAAGTAATAAACTGTAATTTTTAGTTTTTTTATTTATTATTAAATAGTTATAAAATTTGTACTAAAACTAATATGGAACAATTATAAAACAAAATTTTTAAAATCTACCGTTTCCTTTATTTTTCAAATTTAGTATCTTTCCACTTCTTGCATAAACACAAAGGTTTAGGAAAACCATAAACAATATGTTTATTTTGTCCATAGTTTAAGTAAGGTTGAATAAGATATACCTAAATAACACAAACTGCACATACTAGCACACTCAAAACATTGCCTTTTTATAGCATATTTAACTTCCTTGTTATTGACGCAAATAAACGAACTAACTCAGAATTACAATGCAAAAACTTATATAAGGTATTTTTATTACTTGTTGTGGGTGTGCGTTAATTTTTCAGCGCATTATTTTGAACAGTGTTTAGGTCGAAATATCAAAAACTGCCCTTTTGGATAGTATATTTCTCGACGAATATCCTATAACTTTGATTGGGAATGATCAGTATATTCAATTGACGGAGACAAGAAAATTACAACCAAACGTTTTTCTGAAGAATTTTTCTGTAATAGTTTAATGACCGATTAAATATTCTGCATTGTATGACATTCATTTAAAATTGTAATATTCATTGAAAAGTAATGTTTCATTTGTAGCTGTAATGACTTATATAGGCTAATACAAAATAATATTTGATTATAATGTTTGAGAATAGCGGAATAAGCATTTTATATATTTTAACAATGTTTGAGAATTAGCAATTTTAAGTAAATTTTAACTGCACATGATTAAGATGATTAAAAGAAAAATAAGAGATGTTACGTACTGATCGCATTAGAAAAACGTCCATCTGAATAATTTTTCCAACGTCTTAAAATATGCACCGCATAAAACTAGAAACGTATAATATTTAATGAAAACATCATTGTTAAATGTATTTATATTTTCACCTTATTTTTTCATCTAATAATAATATGGTCATCTTTTTTCTTCACTTGAATAATTTGGAACAGGAAGCAGTTTTTACTTTTATTGTAAGAAAATGATTTTATAAAACAAACACTGTCATTGTTCATAAAATAAAACAAATAATTTATGAATAAACTCATTTTACATGCGTTTGCTTAACTAAAGTAATTTCTTTTCTGAAGAATGTTTTTTTGAATTTTCAGTGAAAGGCAAGGGCGTATTAACCTTAACATTAAAAGTTATGCTAAAATATTAATGTGTATCACTGACTACAGTGAGTGACTGTTTAACCACTTTTGACTATATTTAAAAATGAAATCGACTTTAATTAACTATTTAAAGAGATACTCGATAGTAAGTCTTCATATACTTCTACAAATTATCTTTTCACAACTGCAACACCCGTTATTTCAACATTCGTTTGTTAGTGATATTCAGGAACTATGCCGTCTTCAGATATTAAATTTTCAAAACCTAATTCAAAATAAAAAGAAGGTAAAAATACCATTTTCTAAAAGTAAAATTCCTTCCGATGTTGAACGAAACTTGAAGTATGCAATAGAGTGCTGGAATGCAAAAGAGCAAAGAGGAGTTTTCAAGCAAATTCTGGAAGAAAACATTTTTAAGCAAAGTCATCCGAAATAACTATCTTATTTTTTTCTTTTTACCTTGTAAATTGGGTGTTAAATAAATAAAATAATAATAATAATTATTACGTTTATTTTAACTTTTAATGGCTAATCATAAAAATTATATTTAATTATATTTAATAACACTCTCTTTAATAATTATAAATTAATAAAGAGATTGTAGAAGTTACAAAAAAAACATATTTACACAAAAATAAATGTTTCCTTAATCTTTTCGGCATTTTTTCATAACGATTTGATTATTACGTTCTTAACTATTTAAAGCTGTTTAGCAGTTTTTCACATTAGGTTTTCTGGTGCCTGGGTTGCTACGCAACATTGTTTTTTCATATGTCAAATAAAAAAAAGTTACCTAGTTAAAGTTTAAAATGACATCTTTAAAGAGTTTATCAGACATTTCCTAGTTTATTGTGTACACGGTACAGTTAGGGCGATTTATAAGTTATTCGAATTCTTTTATTTGGAATTAGCATGATTTTGCTAGCATATTATGTTCGAACAAGTGTTTTAGATGATATAACTTTTATTGCACCATAGTTTAATAATATGATTTGTTCTGTTTCAATTTCAAACTCAAACCTGCACTTTCCTGCATCCCCATCCTCAGTTGCAATCGGGTTAGGTTTTTTAATTTTTGAAATTTATTTATTAATTGTTGTATAATTTTTCGCTTTGAAGAATGTTAGATATTACTAATATATTTATAATGCATTATATGTATATAAATATTTAATATATTTGAAAAATCTATAATTTGTGCATAGAAATTTAAAATGAGCTTCAATCTATTGAATCTACTATCTGCTCTCCTTCGTCATCATCTATAGTTAATATCTAATACTTTTATTAAAGAAGGGTAATTTACAGTTTTTTAAATTTTTTCTACTGTTACATTATATAAATAAGACTACAATATTGTAAATATAATTTTACCTTTGTAAAAGTTTAAATAATGTTTTTGAAAACTGTCTGTGGTTGTGTAAATGTGTGATTGTAAAAGTTTACTAAAGCAAATTATGTTATATATACAAACACTTTGTGTTAAAAGATAACCCAACTGCACTTACAATCATCTATACTAACATCAATGCTTGCTTGAGCATTGCAAGTGGACCAATTATTACCTGATTTGGTTAATCACCGTGTTGGAGGTGCTTTTAATATATTTATGCATTATGCAAAATTGATGAATATGTTTGTTTGTTGTAACTTAATGTGACTTAAGAAAGAAAATCTTTTGTTTCTATATATTATTATTTTTATTATTTTTTGTATTTTGTTAAAAAATGTACCTGTTATATTTTTCTTTACATTTAGTAATTGATCGTCGACTACTAATATTATTGGAAGAGGTCAAACAGGGCAAACAAACAATAACTTTGCTTCTGCAACAATTCTCAACAGCAGCGTGGCATTGTAGAAACAAGTTTTGACGATTTTGGGTAACTGTTTTATCAATGGAACAGTTAAAAAAAATTGAAACAGATTGTCTTGATAATTAAATGCAAAGAAAGCTTGTAAGGTAATGTAATTGTTGCAATTGTTTAGTTCACCAAATATTTTGGTTCAAGTTACTTTAAATTTAATATATAGTAAATTATATATTTTAAAAGAATTTTTAATTTTTAATTTAGACACGTTATTTGAGTCATTGTGGTGGAACAACTGTTTCTGAATCGACAAGAAATATAGTAAAGCAATTGATGAAAAATAGAATTTCAGTTGCTTGTAATAGGAAAGGAAAAAGGGGAAAATATGCTTGTAGCAATAGCAAGCTTTACCAAATTACAAATAGTGCACTTATTTATGTGTTAATCCAGGAATCGGCAATCTTCGGCTCGTGAGTCGCATGCAGTTTTTTTACCCAAACTGTGTGGCTCTTCAACCTGTTCGAGTTTTATATTTAAATGATATTGAATACCATTGAATAATAATTTGCGCATTCAATATCTTTACGGCTCTTTAGATAGATTTTTTAAAATTATTTTAAGAAAAATGACTCTCAACTTGAAACAGGTTGCCGACCCCTGTATTAAACCATCATTATTTATTCTTACTGTAGATACACTCTTACCGTTATTAATACTTTTAATATAAATTTAAATTTTTATTTCTTTTTTAGATTACATGATTAGAAGTTGTTTATAAAGCTAAACTAAATGAATGTGAAATAAATGCAAATCAGTTTATTGTCACCTAATCATTATTTGATTTTATTTAGATGCTGTTCTACATAATCCGTAAACATGCCGTGGTATGAATGTCGATGTACCAAGTGCAGTTAAAGCAGTGCTTTTCTTTGCAAAAGATCATTATGTAGGGACGAGGAGAAGAGAAGTAGCGTTTTAAAATGTTTAAATATTATAATTTCAATAATGAACAACTTTTTACTAGAAACCCAAAAATTTATTAGAACTTTATTAACTTTAAACGTAGCGTCAACCTGTAAAACCTATTATGATACCAACGTATCTAGTAGCCTACACACTACATTACGCCAAAATTAAAAAATGATAAAATGCATAATTGCATTGTTTGCTTGATGAGGAGGGATTTTAGCGCATACAACCTTTTACCACCGTTGCACCAATGTAAGATCAACTAAGTAAAACATCATTAAAATGCGTCGCTAACTGTACCCAACTAGTCGTTTTTGTTAGAAAAACGTCGGCTCAACGTTGAAACAATGTTTGAAGCGTTGTTTTGATGTTGGACCAACGTGTTTTCAAAGTGTTTTAGCTTCAAAGCACTTGGTTTGGCTAACGTTGTGCCTATAACATAACAGTAAAAAAAGGGCCAACGTATTGCCAAAAACGTTGAGTGAAATAACGCCAACATAATCTCAATGGACAACCGATCATATACCAACTAAACACCAACCTCAACATTTTGTTTAGGTTGGTGTTTTGTTGTTGTATGTGACCCTTACATTGGCACACCAACGGTGCGCCAATGTAAGGTCAACGTTGTACAAGATGCATTAGGCGTATGTGTCCCCAACTGTAGAAATTTGTTTAAGCCAACTTTGAGTCAACTTAAACCAACTTTGCGTCTAATTAAGAGTAGGCCAACGTTTTGCCAACAACGCTGAGAATATACGATGCCAACGTAGGGACGATGGGTAGCCGATCATATGCCGACACGACGCCAACCTACAGCCAGCCAAAGCACTTTAGTAAGCCAACAATCTTAAATACGTTGAGCTAACGTTGAGCCTACGAAGTTGTGCTGCTCGGGACCCCACGCAATGTTAGCATAGTTTATGTGACAATGAATGAACGAATAATATAGTTTAAGTAATTTCTTCCTCTCACGTAATAAATATTTCCCCGATAAAAAATTTACTAAAGTATTTGTTTTTTAAAAAAATTCCGAGAGTTAGAAGGAAAAGAAATTAAAAAACCTTCTTTTGAGAAAACATTTTTATTTATTGTAACGCTATTTTAATAATTAAATAACAAGCATAAACGGTAGTTATAAACTATACCAGGGGGTCGGCAACTTATTTTAAGAAGAGAGCCATTTTTCCTAAAATAACTTTAAAAATCTTCTAGAGTCAAAAAGATAATAAGTTAATGTGTTTTAACTACATTTCTGGATTTTAATATGTAATTAGGAAAGCCTGGAGAGCCGCAATGTTTAGATAAAAGAGCAACGTGCGGCTTGCGAGCCGCGGGTTGCCAAACCATGACCTATACCAAGGAACGTTGATATGCATGACAGACCATAATGCAGAGTTTTCAGAGTTTTTTATTTTAAATAAATTAATAAAAATCAGAACAAAAAAACATAATTGAAAACAAAAAATGTACTTGAAAATAATACGTAACGTATTCTAAATGGTTATAATTTGCATCCTTTTCTTTTTTCCTGAGATATATAACCAGAACGTCGCTTCCTTCTTTTTTCTATATTCTTTTTTAAAATAGTTAAATAAAATAAAAACAATGTAAATTTGTAAGTTTGTACTTTTATATAAAAAGATGAATAATAAACATTCGCAAATATTCTTCTTGTTACTGAAAGCAAGTAAATATAATTAATATAAAACGCAAATTTTTTCATAAAAATGATTCGCAATTTTATCATATTATTTTACTAAGCTTAACAAAAGATTCAAATAAGAATTTTGAAAAAGATTCAAATATCTAGCTCATAAAACGTCCATAAAAACATTTAAAAACGTTCTAAACTTGCAAGTAGTTAGGAGCGCCCCCTACTTTTTTTTCTAAAGATTTTTTTTTGTTAAAGAAAATTCTTGATATAAAAGACTTTGTTTAAGAACTGACGATTGTGCTCACTTCAAAACCCTCACTTCAAAACCCGTGTCGTTGGCTCTGAGTTATTTTGTTAATAATTGAAAGCATAGTTTTAGCAATTTTTCAACTTTTTAAAGAAACCTAAAGAACATTGACATTCAATTTTTTTATGATTGATGCGTTTGATTCAAGTGAACTTTTTTTTAATGTAGATTAATTTAGCGTTTAAACCGATTGCATATTTATTTCCACTCCTTCGAGTTTTGAGTGAAATTTCAACTCCTCCCCCTGTTTTGATTTTTACGAAGCAGCTGCCTCTTGAGTAAACAGTAGTTGACGCCTCTGTCTTTCAATAAAAAAATAAAAATAAAAACTCTTAGAAAAGCAATTTCCTGAGTTGAGCAAACAAAAGAAAAAAGAATTTATTCATAAATTATTTATTTTATTTTATTTGTTATGTCCGTGTTTGTTTTATAAAGTCATTTTTTACAATTAAAGTAATAACTGCTTCCTGTTCCAAAAGATCCAAGTAATAAAAAAAAAGGAAACCATAGTAAATTAATCAATTACATTAGTTTAAAAATAACTTGTCGAATAGTTTTGTTTCATTCGTCCTTGAAGTAAGATTTTCCGTATCCATAACCTTTATTATATGATCCACCATAACCGTATCCGCCATACCCGTACCCTTTATCTAAAAAAAATAAATTCAAATTGTTTGTTTAAAATGTTAATTAACATTCAAGCATTGTTTGTTGAATTGAGTAAAAATAAACAAGAACGTTTTAAATAAAGTTTACTGTATGAATTATAAGTGGGATCTTCTTTTACAGCCGTTTTAGATTCGTCACTGTAGTAGTTGCTTCCAAATCCGTATCCTTTGTTGTATAATCCACCTCCGTATCTTCCGTATACATTGTTGTTTAATCCACTTCCGTATCCACCGAAGCCATAGCCTTTGTCTAAAAGAATTAATAAAAACGCAGTGCTTAAATGTAAATAAAAACTTAAAATTTTTTTATTGACAAATCTTTTTAATAAAAAAATGAAACATGATTTACTGTATGAATTATAAGTGGGGTCTTCTTCAACATCCTTTTTTGATTCGTCACTGTAGTAGTTGTTTCTATATCCGTACCCTTTGCTGTATAATCCACCTCCGTATCCACCGTACCCTTTGTTGTATAATCCACCTCCGTATCCACCGAAGCCATACTCTTTAAAACAGTTATTAAAACAAATTACATTAAAAGTAAAAATAACATTTGTATTTACATATAAAAATTAAAACAAATTTTACAAATTTCTATAATATATGTTTACAATAGTATTTTGTAATAATAATAAAAAAGAACTTTTAAAGTTTAATATAGGTTAAACAAATTAATAAACTATAATTATTAGTTTATTTATTTATTATCAAATAATTAAAAAATTTGTACTAAAACTAATATAGAACAATTGTAAAACAAAATTTTTAAAATCTACCGTTTCCTTTATTGTTCAAATTTAGTATTTTTCCACTTCTTACATAAACACAAAGGTTTAGGAAAACCATAAACAATATGTTTATTTTGTCCATAGTTCAAGTAAGGTTTAATAAGATTCACTTAAATAACACAAACTGCACATACTAGCACATTCAAAATATTGCCTTTTTATAGCATATTTAACTTCCTTGTTCTTGACGCAAATAATCGAACTAACTCAGAATTACAATGCAAAAACTTATTTAAGGTATTTTTATTACTTGTTGTGGGTGTGTGTTACTTTTTTAGTGAATTATTTTGAACAGTGCTTAGTTTAAAATTTAGAGATATGGTAGAGTTTTACTTAATTATAGAGATCAAAACTGCCCTTTAGGATAATACATTTCTGAACGAATATCCTATAACTTTGATTGGGAATGATTAAATGTACGTCAGTATATTCAATTAAAGGCAAGAAAATTACAACCATTTGTTTTTCCAAAGAATTTTTCCATAATAGTTTAACGACCGATTAAATAATCTGAGTTGTACGACCTTTATTTAAAATTATAATATTTATTGAAAATTATTGTTTATTTAGTAGCAAACTGTAATGACTTATATAGGCTATTACAAAGTATATTCTTAAATTGTTTGAGAATACCGGAATAAGCATTTAATATATTTTAATAATGTTTGAGAATTTGCAATTTTAATTCATATTGTTTTTTAAATTGAGTTGAGCTAAAAAAGCATAGACATTTTAATATTTAAAGTTAATATTTTAAATTGATATGCACATTTATTAAAGGAGTTGGTTTGCGGAAATCATTTCTAAAGATTGGTTATTTTTTAGTTTGCAAAGCACCGTGGCCAATGTTTTTTAAAAAGTTTCGTGAACATTGACTAACTTAGAGATACCTTAACCCTTAGACAATGTGGGCACAACTCATAAATCTTCTAAATCTATTTTATATAATCCGTTGATAATAATATAAACTACATTAAACTGATAAGCGATCACTTTGCTAAGCTTATCCTAACAAACACGATAATTCTAAACTTCGCGTAATAGAACACGATAAATCTATCCCTCGCAAAATAGAACACGATAATTCTAAACTTTGCAAAATGGAGCATGATAATTGCAAAACCTAAAGTTTTAGTATCTCTAAATTTTAAACTAAACACTGTTCAAAATAATGCGCTGAAAAAGTACACACACACCCACAACAAGTACACACACCCACAACAAGTAATAAAAATACCTTAAATAAGTTTATAAATTGTAATTTTAATTTTTTTCGTTTATGTGCGTCAATAACAAGGAAGTTAAATATGCTATAAAAAGACAATATTTTGAGTGTGCTAGTATGTGAAGTTTGTGTTATTTAAGTGAATCTTATTTAACCTTACTTGAACTATGGACAAAATAAACATATTGTTTATGGTTTTCCTAAACCTTTGTGTTTATGCAAGAAGTGGAAAGATACTAAATTTAAAAAATAAAGGAAACGGTAGATTTTAAAAATTTTGTTTTATAATTGTCCCATATTAGTTTTATTACAAATTTTATAACTATTTAATAATAAATAAAAAAACTAAAAATTACAGTTTATTACTTTGTTTAACCTACATTAAATCTTAAAAGCACTTTTTTTATTATTATAAATTACTATTGTAAACATACACATTATAGAATTTTATAAAAATTGTTTTAATTTTTATATGTAAATACGAATGTTATTTTTACTTTTAATGTAATTTATTTTAATAACTGTTTTAAAGAGTATGGCTACGGTGGATACGGAGGTGGATTATACAACAAAGGTTACGGAGGATACGGAGGCGGACTTTACAACAAAGGGTACGGATATGGAAACAACTACTACAGTGACGAATCAAAAAAGGATGTTAAAGAAGACCCCACTTATAATTCATACAGTAAATCATGTTTCATTTTTTTATTAAAAAGATTTGTCATAAAAAAATTATATAAATAAGTTTTTATTTTCATTTACGAACAGTGTTTTTTTAAACTCTTTTAGACAAAGGCTATGGCTTCAGTGGATACGGAGGTGGATTATACAACAAAGGGTACGGAGGATACGGAGGTGGATTAAACAGCAAAGGCTACGGATATGGAAACAACTACTACAGTGACGAATCAAAAAAGGATGTTAAAGAAGACCCCACTTATAATTCATACAGTAAATCATGTTTCATTTTTTTATTAAAAAGATTTGTCATAAAAAAATTAAATAAATAAGTTTTTATTTTCATTTACGAACAGTGTTTTTTTAAACTCTTTTAGACAAAGGCTATGGCTTCGGTGGATACGGAGGTGGATTATACAACAAAGGGTACGGAGGATACGGAGGTGGATTAAACAGCAAAGGCTACGGATATGGAAACAACTACTACAGTGACGAATCAAAAAAGGATGTTAAAGAAGACCCCACTTATAATTCATACAGTAAATCATGTTTCATTTTTTTATTAAAAAGATTTGTCAATAATAAATTTATATAAATAAGTTTTTATTTTCATTTACGCACCGTGTTTTTATTAACTCTTTTAGACAAAGGCTATGGCTTCGGTGGATACGGAAGTGGATTAAACAACAATGGATACGGAAGATACGGAGGTCGATTATACAACAAAGGATACGGATTTGGAAGTAACTACAACAGTGACGAATCTAAAACGGCTGTAAAAGAAGATCCCACTTATAATTCATACAGTAAACTTTATTTAAAACGTTCTTGTTTATTTTTCTCAATTCAACAAACAATACTGTTTGTTAAAAATGTTAATTAACATTTTAAACAAACAATTTGAATTTATTTTTTTTAGATAAAGGGTACGGGTATGGCGGATACGGTTATGGTGGATCATATAATAAAGGTTATGGATACGGAAAATCTTACTTCAAGGACGAATGAAACAAAACTATTCGACAAGTTATTTTTAAACTAATGTAAATGATTAATTTACTATGGCTTCCTTTTTTTTTATTACTTGGATCTTTTGGAACAGGAAGCAGTTTTTACTTTAATTGTAAAAAATGACTTTATAAAACAAACACGGACATAACAAATAAAATAAAATAAATAATTTATGAATAAATTCTTTTTTCTTTTGTTTGCTTAACTGCACATGATCAAGATGATTGAAAGAAAAGTTAGAAATGTTACATACTGATCACATTAGAAAAATTTCCATCGAAATAATCGTGCCAACGTGTTAAAATATGTAACGCATGAAACTAGAAGCAGATCATATTTAGGAGAAAACATCATTGTGAAATGTAAAACATTTTCACTTTTATTTTTTCATTTAAGAAAATTATACAAACTCTTACAAAAAACCTGGTAAAATTTTGCTGGAAATCTAAAAGATCATTACAGAGTTTCCTCGCTTCTCAGCTAACTGGAAAGATGAGATTTCGCTGGAAGTTTACTGGAGTTCTAACGAAAACTTTGCTGGGTTCCCAGTGATCTAAAATTTTGCTGAAAATTTCCTGGTTTTTTTTGCGAAATGTTTTGCCAGTTATAGAAAACGTTTCTGAGAGTTTACATAAAGTAATACTTTTAATTTTTGCAAATAATTTAAGTACTATCTTTAGTGTCTGTTTTTATTATTTTAAATTTTAATTTCAAAAGCCAAAACATCGTTATGCTGTTTTGTATCATTTTTCTTCGCTTTATAAAACGAATACATGTTTATTTAGGATATAAAAATTGATAACAACAATAATAATTGAATGAATAACATCTAGTATTATATAGTGTTGAATGAACTTGTATAATACAGTACAGTTTACATTATATATACAATACTGTATATTATATAGTACCATTTAATGATACTATATAATATATAGTATTGTATATATAATACATACAGTATTGTATAATATTATAGTTACTGATATTTATAGATACTACTATATTCAACTTTTTTATTCATAAAGAAATTTTTCTTGCTTTTACATTGATAAAGTTAAGTAAAACATCTTCAAAATGTATATTTTATAACATAGTTCTTTCAATTCTTATTAAAGAATAAAAATTTAAACAGCCATTTCACATTGAGGAGCCGAGATCATTTTTAACTCTTGCCATTTTTGCAAATGTTTGCGTTTCACTACAATTAGTAATGAAGAAGGCTGAAAAAAATCCAATACGCAATGTCAGCATTTCGCGAGGTTAGAATTATTTTGTTCTATCTCCATGTTTTTCCGAACCGAGAAAATCAAGTTCAAAGTTTTAATTGGACCTGCAGACCAATTAACATAAAAAAACTCAAACAAAACTGATTTATATTGATTTTCTAAACAAGCTACCTCACTTTTAAAGATTTTGTATTAAAATATTTAAAGTGCAGGTGTCTGAATTATTACACCCTGATTTGGAGATAAATCAATGTAACACACACTTATTTTATAAATTACAGTGTTATTTTGTTTTATCTCCATTTTCTGTTAAAAAATATAATACAAATTAGTATTTTTTTATATATATTGTGTCAAGATGATTGTATATTTTGGCAATTAAAGTACTATAAGGTACATATCTCTTTTATTAGATAAAAAATCTTATTTTACACTAGTGAACAAATAATTTAAACACGCAATTTTGTCTTAAATTCAATTTAACCGAGAAGATAAGTAATATATTATCTAAAGTATGTACCAAGATCTTCACAACGAAATAGAACTTTTGTTATAAGTTCTTAAAGCATAATATCTAAAGTACTTTGAACAATAAAAATATATCTTAAAGAATAATTAGAAAACCAGCACCTCTGGCAAGGCCATTGAAAATATAACATTTCATTTCGAAACCCATTTAACAACATAACATATAAAACATATATATATTTTGACAATACAATAAATTATTTTAAATTATCTAATAAAATGCAATATTTACAGCAGGCACATACTTGAACAGATCTTGAAGGATATTGGCTTTATCATTTGAAATTTGAACACCCTTATTTAAGGCAGAAAACATAAATGCCTCTGCCATGACTTAAATTGTAGATTGTTAACTTATGCTTTTGAAGAAACGTTATAACATGATTTTCTGTGGTATACATGATCTGAATGCTAGTCGCTTTATCTAGATATAGGGAACAAGCTTAAAATTAAAAAAAAGCCTGCAATAGCTAAAAAATGTTTGAAATTCAAATTCTTCATTTGGTAGACAAAATTTTTATTTTATTTTGAAGAGCAGGCTCTTCTCTGGTTCAGGCAATCAGGCATTGCTCTGATTAAACCAAGTGAACTAATTATTTTAACAGGAGCGAGTGCTCTATCAATTTAGGTACGTGCGAATATCCGTAATTTGCCGTAAAAAAAGTAAGTAAAAAACTGTGATCTATTTTTTTCACTTTGCGAAAACACTATTTATGCCAAACCATATTGAGCCACTATTTATGAACCAAATTAAATAAAAATTGGTAGTTGTTTAGTAAAAAAGGTTAAGCTTATATTTTATTTTTATATTTTATTTTTACTGTCAAAAACAAATTTTATTTTTATTTTACAATGTAAATCCTCATTGTTTTTAACGAGATACGGCTCTGTAAGTTATGGCGGGTCCTTCTTGAAATTAAAGGGTCCTTTAGAAAATTTATTTATCTGCTGATGTTCAAAATTTGAAGTAAATTTGTTGTGCGAAAATTGTTTTCAAGAGTCATCAAGCATACCAGGTATTTCGCTGAAATTAAGGATTTCTTGCATTTTAATCTTTGTTGTATTATTAAAAGTTTTGCTGATCACGGGATAATTTCTTGTAATTTGATTGGTTTAAAAAACTTATTTACTTTGACGATGTTACAAGAATGTTTGTTAACTTTTGAGAAAAAAGAGTAATTTGTTTTTTGTTTGGATTTAATTCATTGGTAATCATTTTAATCTATTGCTTACTGTTTGTCAATAAAATATAAGTTAAAAAAACAGCTGTATGTTTTTTTTTGTTTGTTTAAAATTAATTATGGGCAGTTTAAGAATAACGAACTTAATGTTTATAACATTTATCAAAAAGATTATATTTAAAAAAAACTTTTTTAAAAAGTTTTTAAAAAAAATTTTAAATTTTATAAAATCAAGAACGGAACACCTATATATATATATAAAAAACGACAAATTCCTATTGGCTAGATTACTTAAAATTAAAGCTGTGACGATAAAAGTGAAATAACTTAGGCGAGACCACTTTTTAAAGATCTTATATAAAACGACAAATTCCTATTGGCTAGATAACCTAATCTCAAAAAAGTGATACTGAAATGTGAAATAATGTAGGCAAGACCACTTTCATGATGGCTAAACTTATATTGGCCAGACTTCCAAACCTGAAATCGTGATGCAAAATTTTCTTGGCGTGAATACTGTGGGATAGGGCGTAAATAAAACGACAAATTCCTATTGGCTGGATGACTTAACCTCAGAGATATGTTATTGAAAGTGAATTAACTTGGGCGAGTCTACCGTGTAAGAACCCTATATAAAACAACAAATTCCTATTCGCTAGAATTCTTGAGATTAAAACTGTGATGATAAAAGTGAAATAAGTTAGGCAAGACCATTTTGTAATGATCTTATATAAAACGACAGATTACTATTGGACAACTTCTAGAACCTAAAATCATGGGGACAAGAAGATGACATCTTTAATAAAACGACAAATTCCTGTTGGCTAGATAACCTGACCTCAAAAATATGATTTTGAAAGTTAAATAACTTAGAATAGACTACTCTGTTAAAATTCTAGATAAAACGACAAATTCCTAGTGGCTAGATGACTTAACCTCAGAGATGTATTATTAAAGGTGTATTAACTTAGGCGAGACTACCGTATGGGAATCCTATATAAAACAACAAATTCCTATTGGCTAGATCACTTATGAATAAAACTGTGATAATGACTGTGGTAATAGAAGTGAAATAACTTAGGTAAGATCAACATGTAAAGGTCCGATATAAAACGACAATTTCCTATTGGCTAGAGAACCTAACCTCAGCAAAGTGATAATAAAAGTGAACAAATTAAGACGAGACTGCTTTGCTAAAATTCTATATAAAACGACAGACTCATATTGGCTAGACTTTTAAACCTGAAATTGTGATCAAAAGCAAAAGTCTTGGGGCGAGAATATTTTGGATGAGTCGTAAATAAAATGACAAATTCCTAATTGCTAGATTACTTAAACTCAAACTCTACCCCGGTTTTAAATTACTCGTAAATCTAATTTTGTATATGTTATTTATACGTTAGTCAGCTTAGTAATATAGTTTTATATTTTGATTAGTTAGTTCTTACCTTTGCTAGTATAGATTTTTATTGTGTTCCTTCTTCATCTACTGAAACTATAATTTTGTACTGGACATGTGTCCAATTTTGATAATCTGATGCTAACACTTGAACTTACTAATTTAATTTTCTTTATTTCCCTCAGGCTATTACGGCTCAAAGTGTTCCAACCAGTACACGGACCCTGTCCGTGTACAAAATTTAATAAAAATACATTTGTATTAATCTAGTTTATCTCTTTATCTTTTTCTGCATCACACCAAACCCATCATTTAACTTAATCTTTGAAGTTTTACTAGATTTTTGTTCTGGTGATCTGAATACAGATCGAACTTTGTCTACAGTGAGCAATCTGTTTTGTTTTTCAGTTTCATTCGAATATCTTTGAATATACTGCGCCATCATACCTATAGAACGTTCTGAATGGTCATTTACAAAAATCAAAGTTTCTGCATATTTTTGAAAACTTTTAAAGCAAGATTGGGTATGCCAATATTTTGGCGGGAGTTAGAGCCAGTCTTTAACTCGTTGCTTATCAAGACCAATCATATCAAAAATCAGGTAAGAAAAGTCATCAACTAAGACAGACAAGGATGGTGGTTTTTTTCCAATATTTTTATTCATTTTATAAATTTTTTTGATATCTTGTTTTACTTTGTTCTCAGGCTTATAATAGTCAGAACTAGGCATGTCAAATAAAAGAATAACTGATGCAATTTTTGTCTTCTCCTCTAATGTTACATCATCATCTAGCAAAGCTAGAGGTATCATTGTTGAGTCCAAATACCAACAATG